ATTACACCTTGTCTGACAGAAAGATAACATTATTTTATTTTTTACCTAATCCTTCAAGATCTCATTTAATATTTAATATTAGACAACAATTACTTATTATAAATAGTTAGGCATCTAAAATGACATAATTCATAGTATTTTAAAGAACCTTTAGCCTTTACCCAAACGAAATCAAGACCCAAACCAGTGGCAATTTGGCATTGAAAAAAATATTCGATCAAAAAAGTGAAACATCATTTGAGATATAAATAATTGTTTATTTCGTCAGTATTAGAAGCAATATATTAAAATACATTGTTGTACCTCTACGCAATGTAGCACAGTATAATAATATAACAAAGCACCACTCGTTCCTCTACGTGTTAACTTTAATATTTGCAAATTCCTTTATTCAGTATTTGAGAATTTGTACATTAACATTTACCTTCAGATGGTCGACGAATTCATTCAAGGGGAGGTAACCATTAGAAAAGCTGTCACTAAAGTTGGCTGTGAGTTTTGCGTGTTCGCGTTCATCTGTTAACTTCGTGACTTGCCCATCAGATTCCATTGTTGTTGTCTCTCATCTGTAAATCGTTTCACTAAATTATTTTTAAATAGAATATACTTTGCTGATTTTATTCTTAGTTTACTGACTAGGCTACTGTTTTTAATGAGTTGGTCTAAAATATTGTTTAGGAGGTCATCCATATATAATATATGACGTCATCATAAATAACAACACTGGTTCTACGTTCATTTTTAATCCGTTAAAGAGAAAATACAAATAGCTGGATATCACTGCTTAGTGTTACCACAGCATTTACAATGTAATTTTGAGGCCTGCATTTTTTTTCAAAGACAGCTTTTTTTTTTCGACGAATGACGAAAAATGGAGGAACGAACGGGGGGCGGGGCACTCCCCCCCCCTCCCTCCGAATATTTCTCAGTAGGTCCCCGTCAACGGCTTAGATCTGTATTTGTCCTATTAGTGATTTAATTCTTTGTTAAATTGTTCGTGTTGCGGTCTATTTTTTGTACTTTGGCACAGTGTATAGTTCAGTACTGCAGCTCAGGATGAGCTCATATAATAATTTTTTATTTTACTTCTTTTGGCGTGAACCTACGGTCTGTAAGACCACCCCACCAGCCCACCTCTAGCTCTGCTTCTGCTCTAAGCATCAGAGTAAATTAGAAAGTTTTAATCAAATTTTGATGTTAGGGGGGGGGGCAGTGGCGTAACGAGGGCAGGCGTCACCCGGTGCGGCACTTAATGGTGTCACCCCCCCCCCCCCAGAGGCGTAGCGACCCTTCCCGGCGCCCGGGAACAAACTTTTAATTTTCGATTTGCACCCCACCCCCCTCAAACTTTCGATTTGCACCCCCTACTCCACCCTTGTCGGGATTTGTCAAATTTGCACTTAAAAGACATTTTAACACTCGAATTAATCACTTACTTAAGTGGACTTATCACTTTTTGCTATTTTTGGCCTTGGTGTCACCCCCCCCCCCCACCTAAATTACTCTCCCCACCCTCGCTACGCCACTGGGGGGGGGGGAGAGAAGAGGTAAAGGGGAAGTTTCAGTCGTGTGTTTTATTATCATATCCCACAAGCGCCTACGGTCGTCTCATTTTTGTCTACGACCTCCTATCTGCGTCTCTATATCAATTTTGTTCGCCTCATTTTTCAGTAGAATACTCTTCTAACAAAACATTTCTAATACTTTTTGCTAGACTGTCTTAGCATCGACAGCAACAGCTCATGCTATTTGTTGTGTAGTTGGCTTTCAATAAACTTCTAACTTCCGACTTCATATATATATGTATATATATATATATATATATATATATATATATATATATATATATATATATATATATATATATATATATATATATATATATATATACATATAAATATATATACATATATATATATATATATATATATATATATATATATATATATATATATATATATATATATATATAATGGAATTTATAGACAAATTCTATAGATAATGTTAACTTAAGAATTAACTTTTCCCGGGTAAAAGCTTATAAAATTAATTATTAAAAATGATTGAATTATTTTGCAAAATAGGCCACAGTTTATTGTCTATGATGGTCACTTAATTGAAAATGCCAATTCAAATAAAGAAGCACACTTTTTAAAAAAAAACTTACGTTTATTACACCTTAGGTGTTGTTCTGTAGCCAAATTTTCCAATACGCCTTTGCGCTCGTATTGTCACAAGTAAAAAAGTAAAGTCCCGTCTCAAAACTGACGGTCTATGGGGCAAGTGAAGTCACAAGAGGAAGTAAAAAAAATAAGGTAAAAACAACAAGAGCACTTCGATCTAAAAATAAACTCCCAGACGATTCTGTGGAAAAAAAACCCAGTCTAATATGGAATGGCACTACTTTGCGGTTGTTGTTGTTGTAAAATAAGGCCAAGGTACCAATAGCCGGCCCCGTTCCGCTCCATCGAAGACGGCAAATAGAAATAATAAATGGGTGTGTGATGCATGAAGTTGTGCTATAATTTTAACACGCCTTTTACTATCTCGTATATACGAAGTTGGCCTATAGAAAAAAATCTTCTAATCTTGCAAAAAAATATAAAAAATCGAGATTTTTGAAAATCTCGACGTTTTACACCTCCCTGAGTCGGAAAAACACAATTTTGCAATCTTGTCCGTCTGTGTGTGTGTGTGTGTGTGTGTGTGAGTGAGTCTGTGTGTGTCTGTAAACACAAAAACTTGAAGTACCGCTACAGCTAGGTTGATGAAATTTCATATTTAACTATTATATCAAAATCGTAGATCCGTATCAACTTTTAAGCGATTTCCGATGAAATTTCACATGTAAGTAAAAGATCTAATTTTCTGCCTTCTGTCAAATTTTGAGTAATTTCCGTTGACCGGAAGTAGTAATTTTTGCTATTTCCGATTTCTCAAAAAAAAAAACGCATGTGAAGAAAGTCTACCCCCCCCCCCCCCCGAACGAAATGGAATTTATATAGAAAATATATACTAATAACAGTTTCCGCCCCCCTCCCCCCCCCCCGAAAATTTCAAGTACCCCCCCCCCCCGGAGAAAAAAGTCTGGAAGAAACACTTTGAAGTACTATACTATTCCGCACTATATATACACATTTTGTTTTGCGTTCACTTGGTGTGCAATCCTTTTTTTCTACGAGATTTTATTCTATTTTTAAAACTTTAAAATAATTAAAAATGGATTAAAAATCATGTCTATATCCCGACTTGTCGTTCCCTTTTATTTATAAAAGAATATTCGAGAAAGTTTAGGGGAGGTCACTCTTTTTAAAAGAGTGACAATGTCAGCCAGCGACTAGAAGCCTGCTATTTCTGTCTGTCTGTCAGATTGGCTATCTGTCTTTCTGTCTGCCTGCCTGTCTGCCCGTCTGTATGCTTGCTTGCCTGCCTGCCTGCCTGTCTGTCTGTCTGTCTGTCTGTCTGTCTGTCTGTCTGCCTGCCTGTCTGCCCGTCTGTATGCTTGCTTGCCTGCCTGCCTGCCTGCCTGCCTGTCTGTCTGTTTGCCTGTTTTGCTAACGTTTTTATTTTTAAAAGATTATTATTCTAAATTGTGTATTTTTATTTTATTATTACCTAGCAAGTTATACTACTAGGCGAAAGGTAGATAATATTCACATTTACGATAGGCTTACTTGTGTAACTTTAGGCCTATATCTTACTAAAAGTTAATAAATGTGTTATTGTTAAAAGATTTGCAATAAACTTGAAAAAGCATGTAATATCTATTTTTTCCTACAGAAAACAAAATGTATTTAAATTAGCTATGTCATGTTTGATCTACTTAAAAAGGTTTTTACATGTCGGTCTCCTTCCATTCTTTTTCTTAATACGTATTTTATTTTTATATATTTTTCATTTTATTGATTGTACACATCCTTATGTTCTCATATTGTTAATAGGTGTTTGCTTTCAAAAGACGATAAACTAATGGGCTGAGAAAGATATTTTAAAAAGCACATTAGTCATAAAAAGATACGGGTTGTCGTCAAAATAAATGCGTAAGGTTATTTGGAGTTTCTAAACGCATTTAATTTTATGTCCTCATTTTTAAAAATAAAAACACATTTAGAAGTGATGGGGTGCCCATACAATGCCCCACACGTAGTAAAAAAAAAAGATATAGTTAACCAAGAACAAGTTGAAAAAAATCCGCTTTAGCAGAAAATATGTAATTTGGATTTTAAAAATTAAATTTAACATTTGAACATATATAATGCGTATTTTACTGAATATCTATGTAGGTAGAGCTTATCATTTTGCGACGGAAAAGGTCATACATTGACTATTGTATTCCAATCAACACATTATATATACTTGTTTCTTCATACCCTTTGGTACTTCTTAGTCTCTCAAGTTGTAGAATACTATTTGGACCTATATGCAGAGGCGTAGCGAGGGGGGGGGGGGGGGGGGGGCAGGAGGTGCGGACCACACCGGGTGACACCATTTAGTGGTGTGACACCAAGGGAAAAAATAGCAAAATATATAGAGAAAAACTTGAGGGGGGGGGGGGGGGGGCAAATAAAAAATCTGAGGAGGGTGGGTGCAAATAAAAAATCTGAGGGGGAGGGGGGGGGGGGTGCAAATCGAAAACTTGAGGGGGGGGGGGGTGCAAATCGAAAGTTTGAGGGGGGTGCAAATCGAAAATTTGAGGGGGGTGCAAATCGAAAATTTGAAAGTTTGTCCCCGGGAAGGGTCGCTACGCCTCTGTGGGGTGACACCCGACCTCGCTACGCCAATGCCTATATGCAAGTAATTTTAACCGTTTTATTTTACTTACATATCTTCACATGCCACTAGGAATTAGTACAACTAATAGACTATATCATGCAGGATGACTGATAAAATCAAATTGTCGTAATACTAATAGGCTAGTAAGTATATTTATGAAGGCCGGAGTCACGGCTCTTTTCGGCTTTTTTATCTTTGTTGCGGTAGATAGGCTTTACCTATTTTTACCGCATATAAATCAACAAAAATGGCTGCTAAAAAGAATAATATTGAGGAGTTAATACAAATGATCCAATGTTACCCAATGTTGTATGATGCGTCACATCCTGATTTTAAAAAAAAGAAAGATCCAATTTATGAAGAGATAGGAAACATTCTGGGTGAAAGTGGTAATTCATAAAATTCAGTACATTTAGGCTAAATAAAATTAATGTCTGTTGAGTGAGCTCGGTACTAGGATAAATTTTCAAAATTGGGTTTTTGGGGAAACAACTACTACAGTTAAAAGGAGCAGAAAATTACAATAACAGAACAGTTTTCATTTTTGATGTAGCTCAAACGGTTAAATAGTTATGATTTTTTTTCGTATTAAAAAAAGCGTTTTTTTTTAACATAGGATTTTTTTCAATTTCTGTGTTAGAATTTTTTTAAGCGTTTACTAAAATTGTCATAGCCTGTAAACCGTGTGATCAAATTTGTTATAACTTTGTAGTAACTTAAGTTATCATATATGTTAACATAATAAAAAATAAAAAGAGAACTTCATAGGTAGAATTCTAAAAAAAACTGGAGGGGAGGAGGGGACCCCCTTATTTTTGCATTCACAGTGCTTTCATACAATCACAGTTTAAAGTTAAACTATTTGAAATATCAAGCTGAAAATTGCTCAGAATGTGTGGCTATGGATGAGATCATTAATACCATCAAAATATTGATCATAATTTGAAAGTTTTTTGTTCAAAGAGCAAATGAGCTGATAAATTATGCATTTTTACAAAAACCGAAATCTGGTTAGTGTAAAATGGAAAATGATGCCAAATTTGAACTTTTAAGTATTTATGTCTCAAAATTGGCCTGATTGTAGTTAACCCTAAACCTAAATAGATACAATCAAATTGTATGTTTTAGTTATATATGTTTGCCTAAAATAGGGGGTGGAAGAATGTACCCCTCTATATTTTTAACACCGAAACTTTTCACACAACTCAAAATTAACTCAAACTATTTAAAATATCAAGCTGAAAACTGATCAGAATGAAGTTCTGTAAGTGTGTCTGTTAATATTATATAAATATTGATATTGGTAAGTTTTATAAATGGTTATATGTGAATTCTAATTTTTTTTAATATATGAAACCATATTTTAAACTATTGTAATTTGTTTTAGAAAATTAAAGATGAACAAGTGATTTATTTCCATCAAAGAAATTTAATTTTCATCACTGTTTAATATTACATTGTTCTTCCTGTGCCTGTGCTGTAGAATTGCAGTTTCTATCTGGAATAATGAACATTACTTTAGTAACATGTCATTAAAATAAATGAAACATAACTAATTAGTAAACTGACCAACCACTGTAGACATACGGTCATTAAGATCGACTTATTAAAATTCCCGACAAACCCCTTGACATCATTAATGACTTATTGTGCGTGACAATAACTCCCGTCATTAATGCTCACGGCAATCTGTGCGTGACAATAACTCCCGTCATTAATGCTCACGGCAATCTGTGCGTGACAATAACTCCCGTCATTAATGCTCACGGCAATCTGTGCGTGACAATGACTCCCGTCATTAATGCTCACGGCTATCTGTGCGTGACAATGACTCCCGTCATTAATGCTCACGGCTATCTGTGCGTGACAATAACTCCCGTCATTAATGCTCACGGCAATCTGTGCGTGACAATGACTCCCGTCATTAATGCTCACGGCAATCTGTGCGTGACAATAACTCCCGTCATTAATGCTCACGGCAATATGTGCGTGACAATAACTCCCGTCATTAATGCTCACGGCTATCTGTGCGTGACAATGACTCCCGTCATTAATGCTCACGGCTATACAGTTCTAGAATCTAGCTCTCGTCGAAATGGCTCAAAATAAACGCCGTAGATAAAAAAAAACTAATTTTGTTAGTATTCAAGATCTAAAAAGTCCACAACATTAATCTTAGAAGAATTCAAATAAACAGGACTACTGCGTTTCAATCAGAACAGAGCGTTGAAAACTTGGAATACTGTTTTAAATCCTTCATTATAAACTACGGTAAACGATCTTCCATAAGTGACGTCATTAACCCTCCCCCTATCCTCATTGGTACACTACGTCACCTTTCTTAACCCCAACCTTCGATGCTCACGTAGAACAATGTCAACCTCGGGTCAACGCGTCGTTCAGTGACGTCAGAGGACTGAGGACAGATTCCCGGTGAACGTCGTTAATTTAGGGGAAAAAAATCACAACCAACAATAATAATGTCAGTTTCGCGTGTTGGTTTAGTAATTTAGTAGTGGGCCATCCATACAATAGATCTACATGACGTCACGGAACTGGAGTCCACCGTACTTACTCAACCCCCCCCCCCCCCCCGTATGCAATGTATGCGGCGTATATGACAGCATTTCAAATAATAAAATATATAATATATAGGCCTAAATAAAGAGTCAATGGGGAATGTGCTATTATTTTCTAGAACTGTCAATTCAAACGATATAGTGATATTAATTAAACAAAGTCTATACTAAATAATAAAAAAATAACTGAATACAGTGTAAATTGAAAGTCATTTTTAATAAGTCGGTAGTGTTGTTAGCGTGATCAGGCTAGGCCTCCCACGGTACTTCCGGCTTTCCTTTCGTTTTGAGCCGTAACCATCAGAAATGGCGAAGTACATACCTTTTTAGGGAGTGAACCATTAACAATGGGAGCAACTTAGAACTCTAAATTAATAAAGATAATACGTAGAAATGGTCCCTTTGTTTGATTCTCTACATAAAGTGCGCGTGTCTTCAATAGTTTTTTTGTAATGAATAAAATAAACTTACCTTATTTTCAAAGAATAACTCCTCTTTTTTGGGTCCAGAAGAAAAAAACAAAAAAATACAAACAAGCTTGATATCCATTTTTATCCTTAAAACAATCATCACAAGAAAATTGATCACACGGAAGCGGCTAATTAAGCAAATTTTCGAACATCGTCACTCGCGCGATCGCCGAAAACGCAACAGCCTGGTAACGGGAGAAAAATGACGCCTCGGACGCCGCGGCGCGAGCGTAATCCTAGTACCTAAGTGAGACTAAAAAAAAGTTAAAACAACTTTGTCAATGTAAACTAAAATTTCAACCTGAGTGATGATCATCAACTTCCTGGACCTTGATTCTAAATCTAGATCTAGATTAGGGTAAAACTCCATTTTATCGTATTTTATTCACTGCTTCACGTTCACCTCTGAGTCTGGTTGAGCGTATTAAGGCGTATTTTATTATAAACATAACCGAAACAGTAAAAACTTTAAGAAAACACTTTAGGCCTAGGCCTAATTTTTAGGATTAGATCTAGGCTTAGAAGGCCTACTTAATTTTTTTTTCTAAATTTGTGTTTTATTTAGAACAATTAAAAAAAATATAAATAAGCATTAGGCCTACAGTTCCAATTTAGAATCTAGTAGCGGTGATCGCCAGCTCGCGTTTTCTTGTCAGCGGGAGAAAAATCCCTAGATCTACATGCCTACATACTACATGGTCAAGGGTACACAGTGAGTTCACATTCACTTTAATTATCATACGTCAAAGCCATAGCTATTGAAATTATGGTGATGCCAGTTTTTGGGCCATTGTGAGTTCATATAAAGTAGGCCTATAAATAATATAAGTTTATAGTATCATGTGTAGTGTGTGTGATACTTGTAAGAATATAAACTTAAAACGCTTTGCAATTATGAGTTTCATACTTGACCCATTGCCATGAAATTTTAACTGACACGAACATATTTTCAAGAGTAAAAATTAATGTTTCAAATTTGGATTTTTCTTAAGTTTTGACACAAGTAAATTATCAGAAAACTAAAACATAAATAAATAGGCCTAGCGTTTTCCTAACGTTTTTATGTGTTTCGGTTGTGTTTATAATAAAATATGCTCAACTGGAGGTGAACGTGAAGTGGCGAATAAAATACGCTAAAATGGCGTTTTACCCTTGATTAGATCTAGATCTACTAGTTGAGTACTAGAGTACTATACTAGGATTAGATAAATTTCAAATATTAGTATTGAGTAGGTTTTGAGTTGGTCTATCGACTATATTGAATATTAAGTAATGTTTGTAGTATTTTTGTTACTGTTAGTTAGAGTCAAACAAATAATGCATGGTGGATGTTACTGATTACTGTGGAAAGTGTAAACTTTTAGCTTAATTTCAAATTAATTTGACTGTTGAAATAATAAATAACGGACTGCTACCACACAAAGTTGGTTTTAGTTTTAATGTTGTATAAAGATAGGCTATTTGATCTTTCATTTTATGGGTCGTTGTGATCCGAAAAGTCCAGAGTTTGAACTCCTGGGCAGATGAGGCTTGAAAGCTGGGAACAGTAACTCATCTTGGAGAGAAAACTCCAAAATTAAACTGGCGATAACACTGCATAACTGGGCGTATGGCCTTAAGTACAACTAAACGTCACCGGCCATGGGACAAAAGTTCCTTAAATGAACTTCAACGGTGACATGTATGTGACCAAGGCGAGCTACCTAAATGGAGGCATCTGGCTGTGGTCAGGCATGGAGAGGGGTGGGCACTGCCATGCCACACTTAGCCCTTAGACACACTACTTTGTGGTGCCCCAATGACCCAAACAAGGGCTAAGGGATGATTTAGATTTTTAAAAAAAATTTATTTTCTAAAAATGGTTAACTTCAGGAAGACTTTCAGAGAGTCATTTCCTTATTCGTCCAATATAAAAATGTTGCATTGTCATTGTCTGATTGAATGATGTTAACCATATTAAGGAACTCGCAGTATTGATCGTGAATTTTGAAGGTTCTCTTTGGCAGCTAGAGTGATTCCACTTGAACTGTGTTGATACGTGTATTGTATTGTAAAATAAATGTAATCATCCATTCATTCAATCCTGCTTTTATCATAACTATCCATGTCCTTAATAGCTTTACTTTTAATGTGGTATGGAAACGTACTGACTATGTGTTACTTTCTTTTCACAATGATGATTTTTTGCACACCATTTTTCTCTGTGTGTCTTTCTTTCCTTAAATCTCACCTTTTCACTTGTTTGCTTATGGTAGTTTAGACTGGTTGCTAAGTGTAAGACTGGTGGTTGAGCAGCGAGAGAACTGTGGATTCCATTCCAATTGGGATCATTTATATTTTATACATTTCTTGTATGTGTAGTTCATAAAAAAAAAAATTAGGCTAAATACTTTAAGAGATAATAGCAGTAAAAGGGTCCAGCTTACTGTCTTTTTTTAAAAATTTGAATCTGAATTGTGAATTAGCTCTAGTCACTTAGTGTTAATCCCTTTCCCATCAAGAACTCTGCCTATCTTTTCAAAGGTAAAACTATAAATGGAATCTTGAGCTAGGTTAATTACTTGTTAGTACGTTCAAGAAAATTATTGATGTGATAGAACAATCAGATTTATACTGGGCAGTTACTTTCATTTGATCATATACTTTATCCAATGGCAGTCAAACAAATTAACAGTGAACCTGGTCCCCTCTAGCACTGTTTTGTAACCGTATACATGCACAATGTACTGAAAATTTTCTTTTCATTGTGCATGCTATTTTTATTAGAGTATGACACTTTTAAAAAAAATAAATAAAAAACAAAACAAAAATATGCCTATTGGTCACTAAATTACTTGTTAGTGGGAAAAAAAAACTAAAAAAAAAAAACATTGAATGACTTAATAATGATGATTTTCATTTTTGTGACAGGTGAAGATGTAAAACGAAAGTGGCGCAACCTAAAAGATACATTTACGAGAAGCATAAGGGGTCAGAGTTTTTATAAAAATGGTCAGACCAAATGGAAATGGACAGATCAAATGGAGTTCATGCGGCCACATTTTAATATGTGCAGCAGTACTGGGGCAAATGACAGTGTAAATTCTGTTTCATGTGATGATATGATCAAAACAGAACCATTTGAAATTTCGTGTGAATCTGACATTCCTGCCTCGCCCGAGCTTCCGACTGCGACAGAAATATATCCCACATCCTCTACCAGAGAGAAGACAAATTTCACACAGCCACATGTGCCTAAGAAAAGAAGACGAGTGTCTTTTGACTCAGATGCGTCGGTTACATCTGAAGAAATAAAAACAGATTTAGACAGAGTGGATTATTTTTTCTTAGGGTATGCAGAGTTTTTTAAAAAGCTCTCACCCAGTGGACAGATAAGGATCAAATTAAAAATGGCTCAAATGTTCACAGAAGAGGAATTGAAAGAGCTAAATGATTAGAGAACTGTTGATATGAACACTGTTAAATTGGCGTAATTTTTACATACCGTTTATTAAAGTTTTATATTATTAAATGACTTTGAGTTTTTGATAATGTATAAAATGTTTCGAAATTCTTACATGTATTAAGTTATATTCACCATTAATAAATAGTATCTACTAATGCTCTCAACCGTAATGGGACTTTTATAGAACTTAAAGTAGATTTTAAATTATTAACTAAATTATTTTGTGTAGTTATGAATGCATTGTTTTGATGTCCAGAAACAATGTTGGTTTATTTTGATGTGGTGGGTTACTATAGGCTGTTGGAAACACATAGTCAAAAAATGTTCAAGTATTGCACCAGTAATTTGTTTCAATGTTTGAAGTGAAAATAATTTAAAATCTGTTGCCCAAATATTATATCACAGCGCGGTCAAATTGTAGAGTGTTTGACTGTTAACGAAAAGTTCAAATCACGGTTCAAGTCCCTAGAACGTACCTGAGTCCAACCAGCACTGATGGGTACCTGACTCACATTAGGGAAAGTAAAGGCAGCTGGGTAATCTGCTGACCACACTGTCCCTTTATATGCAAAGGTCACAGAAACAGATTAACTCTACTTCACGTGACCTAGGGCTGTCAGGTTCAAAAGGGAACTTTTACCTACCACTTACTCAAATAACTTATCCATCTTCACATTATGTCCTTAGTTAGGAAACCAATACCTTGAAGTAATTATATAGTTTGAAATTTTTTTTTTTTAGAAAAAACATCTTTTGTTTTTAACAATATTTTAAATTGTTACCTAGGTTTGATTATTTTGTTTATTGTGAAAAAGATCAAGTGTGGTACCCCACTGACCCATGGGGTTAAAGGATGGCTGATTGAATGTAACGACAAAAATACACGTCCAGTTAACTACAAATCTATATAAACAAATAAATTTAAATATAAATTAAAATAATGTTTATCAGTTTTAAAATAATTTTGAAATAGCCACAATTTATACTGGTTAGAAATGTTTGTGTATTGTTTGTAGTGTTAAAACTGCCACCATTTTAGTTGTCGGCAATAGTGTATTTACACAGTTATATCTTTAAAATCCTACAGAAATGTCATTTAAGTTTAAATATAAAGGAAAATATTTATGAAGTTCAGAGCATATGCTTTGATGAAGTAAATAAAAGAAGAAAAAATAATCATTCTATACAACTACTCAGTTTATTTTTTAAAGATGCAAATACTTATTTTTCAAAACTCTATTTGAATAAAACAAAAACAACACCTTGTAATTGTACATGTTATAAATAAAATATTTTACTTGAAATTTATGTACAAATAATACAATGAATTGTATTAAAATTTTACCAAAAAAAATAATCAATTAACGTTAAAGAATACTTTTGGTTAGCCAATCTTAACAATGAAAGATAGATTAAGTGTAGATTCAGTTTTTTGGGAGCTGACTTAAACATAACTAGGGTATAGAGAGGAACTAAAACTACTAGTAAGGACAAGTAGACCTATAATTTTGTCAAAATGTTATTGAGTGATTACATTTATTTTACATGTGTGAATATAAAACTGTTTGTTTCAAAATACAATTCCAGGGTATTGATAAATTAATTATAATGATTAACTAAATAATTACCTTTATTAATGAGTCATAAACATAAATCAATGGAGTTCTAAGTCTTAATTAGATACAGTAAAGCTGTAATAAACAGTCGTCATAATTGTGAGATGATTATGTATAAGTTAAGCAGGGTTTCTTTGTGAAATTTTTCTCTTGTTGAGGAAGGGAACACTACATAAAGATTTAAAAAATAAATAAATAGATAATATATTTTTTCTCTTTTTTTTTCGGTGTATAAGTTAAGCAGGGTTTCTTTGTGAAATTTTTCTCTTGTTGAGGAAGGGAACACTACCTAAAGATTTAAAAAATAAATAAATAGATAATATATTTTTTCTCTTTTTTTTTTCGGTGGGGTGGGGCAGGGAAAGTGAGAAGCAGTGCCCCCAGCGATGTCTATAAGAAGGTTTAAGTCTAGCTCAGTGTTTAAAAAATAAATAAACGGTGGTAATTAATTAAAGACAAGACTGAGGTAGAAGTATGTGCCATATGTAGGTCTAGAAGTCGCATGAAAGGTAATAATAATAGGTAGAAACTTTGGTTATATCCAGGTGTAGGTCCATTTGTTGTTAAAAGAACGTTTAATCAAAGAGATACACTTTTGTAGAAGTGTGTGTATATGTAGTTCGTTGCGAAGTGAAAAGGAAGAGTTGACCAGTGGGCTAAACTAAATTGTGAATAAAATTGTTGGAAAGAGGTTGGTACAGTTTTAAAGGGAGGCTATAAATGTTTAAGGAAATGAAAATGTTTCTACGATTATTGCCCTTAGATTTAAAAATCCCATAGACTGAGTAGATAATATAAGCGGAAAAATTAACTAAAGTCATTGCTGAAAACGGTCAAATTATGTTATTTTTACTGTCCACTCCACCCATAGGTATAAGTAGTGAGGAAGGAGCAGGGTAAGCGGCTTCCCAGTGTAATGGGCCCGGGCCCTTTTCGTAGATTATCCCAAAAAGAAAAGTTCAGGCTACAAAAAATTTCCTCACATTACACCGTGTTTACACTCAGAGGCGTCGCTAGGTCGGGTGTCACCCGGTGCGTCACTTCTTGGTGTCACCCCTCCCCCACAAGAAACAATAATTAAAATATATGCCGCATACGCGTACATGTATGTGTATATGCATTTTTGTCTTGGTGTCACCCCCTAAATGGTGTCACCCGGTGCGATCCACAACCCGCCTCTGTTTACACTTGCAACATGTATAGCACACAAGAAAGCACACTCGTTCTGTGGGAAAAAAAAATTGCATATAACATTAAGCTGCTGCTAGTTTTGTTTTCCCCACTTCTATAGTATACATGTAGGTATTCAAAATGAAATTTTTATAATGAAATTAAATAAAATTTAACACTTCCACCTGATAGAGACTGTTTTCATCAGAACAGAAACACCAAATTTATTGATGTATGTCCATTTTTAAAAAAGTTATGAATTTTTTAAAACTTAAAAAATGCGTTCGCTTTTTGAACAGTAAAGGGTCTATTTGAGACCCCTACTAACTTCTACAATAACTAAGTTAGAACTCTCAAATTTCTTGCACACACAGCCAGTAATACAAATAGCAAACCCAATTTTTTTCAAGGTAGTCAGACAGATGTAAATAGAAAATTTATTCACATAAAAATGAGCCAAAGCACAATTTTACCGAAGTACGAAAAGGGAGACAAAAAGTTAATTTACAGTCATTTTTAAAAAATCATAGAAAATCAACTAATTAAGCCACATTAATAATATAAATGTTCTAAGAAAGGAAATTCAAACCATGTTAATATAAAATAAGCAGGTAAAGAATTAATAAAGAAAGTAATTAGCGAGACCAGATTCAGCAAGGTCAGTTTATAAAAATTAGAAATTTCATCCTTTTTCAAAAAATTATTAAAAAATATTTAAGTAAGGTATCTTAATAAATTTTACACCAACTTAAAGCACATGATGTTCTTAATATATAATAAACACAGAGACATAAAATAATCATTCTGCAAAACAATACAAGGCATCCTTCCTTAACGCCCAAAATCAAGAATTTTCATTACCTAACATCTTGCAAAAAGTGTTCTTACTTTTAAGAAAGTAATATAAATTGTGTAGGAAACATGTTAGCATTACTTTGTTATAAAAAACTAAATAACTATACTACTTCTTTACTTATATACTATAATAAGAAGAAATTCCATGCATTTTAAAAACTGACGAAGTAAGATAACTAATTAAACTGAAATTCTTTTTAAATTACCCTAATAGAGTTGTGATGTTCATCTAGTTTTGTTACTCTGGTTCCTAATAAATTTACTTGTTACTAGTATATTTATTTCTTCTAGTTAGTTATTGATCAAAGTCAACTTCTGGAAATGTCTAGGTCCTAACTTATACAATTATCAGAAATCTTAGAGCAGGTTCAAAAAGACAGGTGAATATCCTGATTGGGAAATTTCTCTATGAGGTTGGGTAGCATTGTAATTAATAGTCAATATCCTGGTTGAGTTTGTCTTCTTCAAGGTTACAGATCAAATTATGGAATCTAGTAAGGGATCCTTCCATTGGTCCAGAGTATAGAAAATGTCTGTGAATAAAAACAATTAATTAGCATTTCAAATATACTGACTTATATAACAGGCCTGTATATCTTTATACCAACTTAAATATCAATCATGTAACATTACATCATTATAAATAATAAGCAAAGTGCATACAATACTAACATTTGACATATGGTTTCCTTCAAAAGTATTCAGGAGTCCTGTTGTTGCTTTCACAACAATACAAAATTTTTGGTAGGCCAATGAGTTTCCCCTTTCTTTCATGCTAATATCTTGCTCTGTAAATAGAATAATAATAATATTAAAAGTAAGGCTGCTCAATGCTTTTTAGATATTAAATGTAAGCACTTTAGATAGTTATACTACTACATCTAAATATTAACATGAAAGCAATAGTGAATCTAACTAATCTAAGTAGATCTAGACTAAATCTAGAAACAACTTTGGACTAAACTATTATGGAAGGGGGGCTACATTTTATTTTAAGTCGTCTTTACAATAAATCTAGAGATAAAAAATGTAAAAGATCGTAATATTCTAAAATTTAATATAACTACTGCACATATATAGAATAGTTAACTATGAAACTAGGAAAGACAAAAAGAAAACAATGCTACAATAAATTGAAAGTATGCTGTTAACCGCTGCGGTAATATAATAGTTGAACCCAACACTACGAGAAAGTAAAAAAAAACATGGCGGACAATCGGCTTGAAATATCGACAAAATATTGATAGTTTAATCGGCCAATGTTATTAACTAACATAATTTACTAAAACAAATTAAATTCTATCATCCTTTTAAACATCTTTTTGATTTAATTGCGCATTCCTTTTTTATTTCAGTGACCATAAATTAAATACAACTGACTTTTAAAAAAGGCTAGATAATTTTTTGGAAAATTTTTTTTTAAGCGTGGAGCAATTACCGATAAGAGGACACTAATATTCAAATGTATTAAAGCAGCAGTTAATCATAAATAAATAGAATATAGCTAGTAATATAATATGCATTCAACTTACCTGCACGTGTTTTTAAGTCCACTGTAATCAACGAATAAACACAAAATCTTGCTCTGAACCGAGGTCGGGTGTTCCGGAATTCAACACAATCTTGACTCGAGCCGGCGAAATTTAGATGCGGGTCGTCGCGATTTGTATACATTGGTTTCATTTACTGCGGTCCGACCCCATACATGGAGTGTTCATTAAATCGTAACAGTTTTATGACAAATTGGATGCCCTTTCGGAATATACAACTTTGGCGGCTGTAAAATTATTTTTTCATGGAAAAAAATCATTTTAAAATTTTAAATTGAACATTTTTAGCATTTAATTATATTATACAGCTGGCAAAGTTATACCATCTTACAGAGCTACCATTCTTCTTTCTAAATCAGTGGTTTCTAATTGCGTATGTATTATGGGGTCGGACCGCCGCGCGATGCCGCAACGCGACCAAAAAATTTTAAAACCGGCTTAAATTTTTCGGCTCATTTAGAATACCTAATACATGTCGCAAGTGTAAACAGAAACCACTAACTTAAAACTTATAACAACTTTATTTCCATGGTCAAATTTATGTCATGTAATGATGTATCATCTTTCCCAGTTCGTGCTCAAGACACATGGGAAAGATGAAGTAGAGCTCATCTATTTCAATAACCTCTATTTGTAACGTTCGGTTTGCTTGAGGTGGCCGTATCGATTCAACGTTTTGTATTTAAGATTAGTTAGGAGGCGTATTTAAAAAAAATACTATTGTTGATCATTAAAATGTAGGGTCTTCACCAGTCTACTGACATAGGTTAACAAACACACCACCTTCCAATAGAGCCCCATTTCTTTGTTATTTCCTCAACCTCTAATAGCCAGAGCTAAGGGGGTTACCCATAAACGACGTCACGCTTTTTCGGAATTTTTTTTACCCCCCCCCCTCTCCCCTCCGTCACACATCGTCACAAAAAGCCAGACCCCCCTTAAAATGACGTCACACCTCAGCCTACAACCCCCCTCAGAATTGCAGTTATAAAGTGTGGCGTCACACTATCTGAACCCCCTCCTCATCACACAACGTCACAAAATAACGGACCCCCCTACCCCCTACAAGTGTGATGTCATTTATGGACGACCCCTAACAGACGCTTTCTTTAGCACCCCATATCAGCATATCTAACAGTCGCTCCCTCTAGTGCCCCTATCACCAGAAATCAGCTGTTACTTCTTCTAGCGCCCTCTAGTATAGAACTAAACAATCGCTTCTTCCAACGCCTCCAATCGCCAAAACTAGCTGTTCTTCCAGCGCCCTTTATCACCAAATCTTTCGTGGTACGGATATACCGACTCAGGAGTCTGCCTCCCATTAGCCAGGCTGGCCTCGACGAAGCGAACTCCGACTAACTGACTTAGAAGATGCCAGTTTGATACGCTACATGTTGGTCGCTTTTCATCCGTAGGTTCTCGTCAGGCTTGCCTCCCCTCCCACCAGACGCGGGACTCCGCGTCCCAGTGGCGTAGCCAGGAATTGGTTATGGGAGAGGTTCGAATATGTTTCCATTGGTATAAAATCATATATATATATATATATATATATATATATATATATATATATATATATATATATATATATATATATATATATATATATAGGGTTGTGAGTCCATGGGAGCGGTTTTAACCCCCCCCCCCTGCCTACGCCACTGCCGCGTCCTACCACCTGGTACCCAGCTTGACCGTGTGGAGATCACCAGAACTGCTACTTCTAGCGCCCTCTATCGCCATAAATTATAATTCGCTATTTCTAAAGATTTCTATAACCAGTACTCATCAGTATAGATTATTCACATTGCTTTCCTCACAGTTCTCCCATTTCCACCCCTCCCCTCCCCGCACACACACGCACACACACAACCCCTCACACACGTACATCCGCAACACAAGACCTTTACTGACTCGTGATATGAGAGCTAGGTGGCGGTTTTAGCAGCTTCCTGTCATGCGCACAACATCCGTTTGTAAAAAAAAAATGGGTCAGAGAATGATGTTAATGTTAAAACAATTTGTTTAAATAGCGCTAAAAAAGATCTCAAAGTACTAATCCTCAAAGAATAAAAAAAAACGTACATTATAGATCTTAGCTGGAGCCTACTTTATTGTCTTGAATTATTTTTTTTTAATCCATCACTATACAATAAAGTAAATAAAATACAGTTTAAAAAAAGTTTTCATTGATTTTTGTGTGTATTTTTTATAAAATAATTAATTTTGACAATGGTAATAAAACGGACATTAATTAACCAGACCTCGAAGCAATGCCATTAAAAGATGTTTATGTCCATTGTTTCTTTCTGGGGGGGGGGGGTTACTTTAAAATATCGAGGGGGGGAGGGTTACTTGAAACTTTTTGGGAGGGGGGGGGGGGGCTGACTAAAAAAAATTCCGGGCGTGCTGATACCCCCTCCCGAAGAGATGCCTGAAAGAAACACTGTTTATGTTGAATATCTATTAACTCTAATTAATTAAAACGGGTTTAGGGATCTACTATAAATGACTTCACATTTCTAGGGGGAGAAGAGTTCAGAAAGTGAGACTTCAGACTTTGGTATTTTAAAAAGTAATGTTGGAAACTGAATTTTAGCTGTTTATTTCTCGTTTTAGGAAAGTTTAAAAAAAAATTGAAATAGAAATTGATTAATTTTAGCCTACTCTATGTTGACCGAGCTCAGTCCATATTTTGCAAAGAAATCGATGTTAAAAAAACAAACAAAACAAACCTGTCATTTTGAAGGCGGTTGTAGTCATTTTAGTTGGCGTGGAGGGGGGGGGGGCGAAGGTGGGGTATGTTTTTTGTGACGATGTATGACGGTGGGGAGGGGAAGATAAAAATAGCTAAAAAGCGTGACGTCTTTTATGAATGACCCCTTAGATTGGACGTATTTGATGTTTTTAGTATTTTCCGTAACAAACGCATTTTTTTTTTAAAATGCAAAAAAAAACAACTATTTGTTTTCATTTGGTCTCTGAAATTTTACATATAGCACTGTATAGCTAGACCTCGTGGTTTAAAAAGTATAATTTTATTGAAAAATGTCATCGAAAAAGTTGTGAGTACAAATTCCAAGAAGTTTGAGTTTTAAGAGGATCGATCAAGGAGTTTTTCTACTGCCAATCAATGCCTGTCTTAAGAAAGAAAAAACTTCAGATTATAAATTAGGCTTTAATGAAAATAAATTGTAATTTAGCGTTAAAACACACAATTTTTTAATTATTTCAATTTCTCTTCATTTGCAACTTTTACATCACTGATTCTTAAAATATTAAAATTTAAAAATATTTTAAGCTTAAGATTTTAAAACATTTTTTTACGGCCGCCATAAAGGCACAAATTGAGATAAACACGATTTTTATCCCTGTCAACAGTAATGATGGAAGGATTCTCGGCAACTTGATGAAGTCCATTATTTATAGTACGAACCCTTAAGATAAAATATTCTGGAAAAATATCATACTGCGACTCGTGACAAAGCAAAAACAATAGCCAATAGTCATGGGTATTGAAGTTCCCAACATGGCTTGTAAGCCGCCATTTTGTTTGTTATCAATGGGAATGACGTTCAAAAAATTAATTTAGTTCAAAAATTGATATCTCTCCCTTCTTTCTTCTTCTTCCTTCTTAATTTTACTGTTGGGAGGGATTCCCTCCAGCACAATTAAGTACACGTGTTATCTAGTTATGCGCCATCGAGGCTATTGACTCCTATTACAGCCTGCTTTTCTTTTTTGGATTTGCTTCCATAGCCTTTGTCCAACCAAGGACAAACTACAAGGCAGCAGTTGTTTAATTTTGGAGTTGTCTCTCCTAGAAGAGTGGCTGTCCCCAGCTATCGAGCCTCATCTGCCCGATTCTCTCCCTGACTAAGAGGATTTCGAATTTTTAGCTAGAGAAACCGCATACACGCCTTATTAAGAATGGACCGGGCACATAGAGAGTAGAGAAAATGTTCTTCATTGCGGAGTAAGTGTTGGACTGGAACTCCCAGGAGAAAAGAAAAGAAGTCCGGCCTAAACAATCCTAGAGATGTACCGTGGAAGGAGAATTAATGGCTTCGGATCTTACTTGGGCTCAACTAAAGAGAACTGCCCCGAATCGAGCTTGGTGGAGGTTCGTAGCTACCAGAGCAGTCTTTTTGCTCTTCTGTGTCTTCTTCACAGGACTAAGCAGAGGCGTCGTGAGGCGGGAGCGGGGGATGCGGACCGCACCGGGTGACACCATTTAGATGGATGACACCAAGACGAACAATGGCAAAGTATATAGAAGAAAAATGCTTTTTGCCTGTTCATCTAATGAATAATTAGAGTTTAAAAGTCTTATAACTACACATTGACCATCTCAACAATACATACACTCACACACACACGCACATACCCACCCATCCCATATATATATATATATATATATATATATATATATATATATATATATATATATATATATATATATACTTATTTACTTTTTTCAACTTGTTGTGTGTAGGGAGGGGTTGACATCATGAAGTGCCACACCCGGTGACACCCGACCTAGCTACGCCACTGGGACTAAGTCAAAGTCAGTTTATTGTAGAAAAAAACCCCACACAAATAAAACGTTAAAATTAACTTAAAAACGTTTTATTTTAAAATCAAGTTTACAATTTTGAGTTGTATGTCATATCTTTTCATATCAATGTGACGACGTGGTCTGATGCCAGAGCACATGGCAGCTAACTCGATATTCTCGAGTTCGGATCCCAAGCTCGAGTCTGTAGGACATCCCTGGCTCTACCCAGCCCGGATGGGTACCTGACTCATTTTGGAGACAGTAAAGGCGGCTGGTTATTGTGTTGACCACATCATCAAATGTGGCAAATATGCTCTAGCGCACGGGTTCCCAACCTGGGGGTCGCGACCCCCCTGGGGGTCGCGAAGGTCTTTCTGGGGGGTCGCCAACTGGTATACTAAACCTTAGTAATTTGAAACAAAACATTAATATTTAGAAGAATT